GGACACGACTATAAGGTTGCTTCAGTTATTTTGTCATACTTATCAATTCATTCACTTCTACATCAGAAAAATGGCATTCCATTTTCTTTCCTTATTCCACACTTCTAGTTCTAATCAAGTTTGCATAGTTTTTCAGAGTATTTCCTATAATTTTGATACAATTATCCGTAATTTTCATGAATTTTATCCAATTCAAGGGATTTCTACAATCGAGTGTTGCTGAAGAGAAGAAATATAACACACGATTAACGAAAAATTTCGATGAATTCCTCAACATTATGAATAATTTGAATCTTTCATATCCGAAACAAATTGGTCAGTTACGCTCAAATATTCGGTTTTCATCGTAGCATCCTTTTAAAGACTTAATTCTTCAATACTCTATAATGCCTCATTGGAACCGGAATTTCTCCATCCAAAAACATATATTTGGATATCCTTCAACTGGAAACATCAAATTCTGAGATAAAATTTGGCTAACCCCAAATAATTTGAGCTTTCCAGAAGTGTAACTTGTCAAAAATTGATTCGATATGAAGAATTTACCTCCTAACGACGAATTATTTTGCAGATAAGTCTCTACCAGCCAACAAAGTGTGTGGTGTCTATGAGCTTATGGATGAGGAGACCCGGAAACTGGTCAGTGAAGGAGCAGCTGGAAAGCAATAAGGCTCCGGATCATGCTCATGGAAAGTAGGGAATGATTTCTTCAGATTCTTTCAGTTTTTCAAAGAATCTAGGANGGATCATGCTCATGGAAAGTAGGGAATGATTTCTTCAGATTCTTTCAGTTTTTCAAAGAATCTAGGATCATTTTCCCGTTTCAAACAGTTCCAACAAAATGGAATTTTCTTAATCTTCATTGCATAAAGAAGTTTTTTAAATCAAATGAATTGTTTGCATAATTCCATGTATACTTCACTTATATGTACATTTATTTATTTATTTAATCAGCAAATCAAACTCATTACGAGTTTATGCTTCTCTATTATTACCAATATCACTAATTATATGTACATATAAGCTGTAAATTGCTGATTTCATGCGGTGTCCAATTAAATTCAGTTATAAGTTTAGACTTCCATTTCGTTATTTGAATCTATGTTGTGACTATTATTACGGTTATTATTGTTATTGCCATACTATTGCTATAGTCTACTACCCATTACTGCGAGTACGCAATTATAAGTAATTGAATTGTTCTGTCAAAGAAATTGAGATAAGTGAATATGTCGTCAAGTATTGTGTGTATGTGCATTATTTGAAGTCATATTTTCATATCTATAATAAAGATGTCGACATCATCAAATTGAATACGTTCCATGTTCAGTGTTTTGCTATTTCCTTGTTATTATTCTTATCAAATCAAATGAAAACGCAATCAATAAACAAATTTATAAAGAACCCCTAAAAATACTTCAAATATCTTCGTTATTAAATCATTTTAAGACCACTTATTGCTGACCATTCTTATTCAGAGTCGGCCGAATAAAACGTTTAGTCGCGCAAATCCAACTCACTTTGATAATCCCCTATTGAAGCGGTGATGCGCCTCTTAAGAATCTTCTCTCATATTCAAAAGTACTATTCATATTTCTTCGAAATTTTCGACCAATCCACTCTTACTCGGATTCTTAAATGTGACTCTCGAACTGACGATATCTTGACCAGAAATCTCGAATATCACCTCGAACATCAGCACCAATCAATGCTTTAAAAATCACGCTATGAGCCCGTATACATTCTGATCATAGCTCTTTCACATAAAACATTATCTACCTATTAAACAGATCTACGATTTAAAAAATCCAATCTTTTCTTGATCGGAATGTTTTCTCTTGATCAGTTCCATACATCCTTATCAAATCATGAAGAGAGTTCGATACCATGATTGATTTATTATGTGATAGTTAATTCCTGTTTGCCACCTTAAACAACTGGTTTATTCAGATTCATTCAGCGAGTAAACAACGAAAAATGCGAAAAATCAGAAAGGAAGTGAAAATAATAGCGTCATTTATGTTTTTTCATACTTTCCATTTCATCCCCTTCAACAAATGATGACATTTTCTCATTCTGTTAAGTGCATTCTCTGATCGCTTGTTCCACTATTGTTACACCTGAATAATACATTGTTATGTCAATATCACGAGTCCCATTTCCTGATAATTATTTCGCGCAGGTGTTTTCAATTAATTGATAACTTTTTATGTTGTAGAGTTAAAGCATGACCTCTGGTATCTAAAAGTACAGGTATGTCACAATGGAAGCGTGAAATTCGAGAAATATTCAACAGTTTATTCATAGATGATCTAGAACAGTGGTTCTCATAGGGGTGAAATTACCCATTGTGGATAATTTGAAGGTGTGAAATCACATCCATCTGTCAGTAAATG